AGTAGAATATTCAAAACATTTTCATTTTATATACATTAACAATTACTTGACAACAAAAACACTGTGGTTAATTATGCACATCAATATACCAACATTAGAGATGATTAGTACAGAATTCATGCTCTTTCAGAACTAGATTTTGTGTTATATGCCGTAAAGAGAAAGTTATGTGTCACTGCAAGTCATCTAAGAATCTTCATTGAAATCATAGATACTGTAAATAACAATTTTAATAAAAACCTATTATCAATTTATGCAGATATTAGTACTTGTATCAATTTAATGCTGAATGATATTGATAAAAGTAGGTAAGTAATGAGGATGTAAAAGATGTTCGCTCCAGAAGTCAAACCTGAAAGAATTTTATCCACTATACCGTTTATCTAGACGGATGTTATGCATCTATTTGTTAGCAAAGGCTGTAAGAAACTATAGTTTGTCTTTATTTAGAAATATGGACGTTGTGTGGTTCCTGTTGGAACAGTGTAGATTGACCCTGAGGTTCTGGTGCCTGACCTATTTTGGCAGACAGGCACCAGAACATTTACATTGGTTATTGCCTGGACACCCTTATAAAAATTTCTGGTTATGCCTCTGACTTGAAATAATACAATGCAATTGTGTTTTCTCATTTTAAATATAAATTGTCTTGTTCCATTGGCAAAATGTCTCTTTTACCTCCTCAATCCGAGAAAATATGCACTTACTAAGAAAAATGACTTCATTTTTTCCTATGTAAGACATTTAAATGACTCTGGCAACTGTTTAAAAGAAGCTTTTCTGTTGCCCTCTAGAAGTTTTGGAAGTATTACTCAAAAACATGCAGCTCTGCATTTTCCCCTCTCCTTTGCCAACAGTAAATCTTTGTAGAAAGGATTTTTGAAAGGATTTTTTTCTTACCTTTCCAGGTCCTTTGTGAGGATCTGTGCTGCGCAAACCGGGGATATAGTCTCTCTAATGTCGCGTCTCTGAAGGTCCCGGAGCAGAATTGACAAAGAAAGCAAAGCAGGCGTGTTTTGAGACAGAATAAGCCGGAGGACACCCTGCTCAGCGTCACATCCTCACTTCTCTCTGAAAGCGGCGCAGATCTGCCGTAGTAAATCCCCTGTGCGTATCTCTCCTCGGCTGATATCACTGGCAGAAACCCTCCTCCGGCGCAGCGCATTGGTTTGCTGTCTGTGTGGGCTGGAGAATGACGGGGGCGGACTGCAGCACGCCATCTGACCGAAAAAGAGCCTTCCTCTCCCGGTAGAGAGGCGGCTTTTAAATTGGAGGTGTGGGTGGAGGTATAGTGGGGGCTTCAAATTAACCCTCATGCGTCTTTAAGACTCTGCTCCTTCATGCAGAGGCTTTGGGGGATTCCCACAGTTTTATCGTGTCAATCTAAACTAAAGGTTTCAGCCTTTAAATGGTCAGGGAGTTTATATAAATATAGTTTAAAGAAACTCCACTGTGTTTATCCTGGATTTATAAAGAGCTTCTAATGGCAGCCAGAGGCGTAGCCAGAACATTTTAAAAAGGGTGGCCACACAATAACCAAGAGGATAGGAACCAGATCAGGGTCAATCTGTTCCAACAGGTAAATAAAGGAGCAAAACATCCTTATTTTCTAAATAAAGACAAACTAACAAATAGACGCATATATTTAAACATCCATGCTGTTGTTTTGAGTTCTGGGTCAAACATCTTATTCATTGTCATTACTGACATACTTTTATTATTAAATTAATATTTGCATGTACTAATATCTACATTAAATGGATTATTTATTATTAAAGTA